TGAAGTCCACTCATCTTAAAGTGGCCAAGTTTGGACAACACTGCCCTAGGGCATCTGCCCGGCCCTGCCAAGAAAACACGTTCCACAATCAAGACCCAAAGAGAGAGGAAAGGAGAACAGAGAGAAGCTGAACGAAGAAGACTTCTTAAGTGAAGCCCACAGGACCAAACTAAAAATGACACAACGGTCATGAATTTCAATGGCTTTTAAGGGACGTAAGACAAAGGGGTAGTTTACTCTCAATGGCTTTGTAATGGGACAAGGTTCATGGGCCTATGCCCTTGAAGATAAGCTATGGAAAAGCTCTGGTGAAGGAAGGCTTCAGGCCCTGGTGGCTTCAGGCTCTGCTCCTGGGCTTTCCAAAGGCATTTAATGGGCACTTTAGAAAAGAGGACTCGAATGAGCTTTTGGTACGATCCTCTAGGACTTTTCTTAGGTGCTCACAAAGCCTGCTACAAAAACTGAAAGCACAGAGCCCCGCTTCAATCAGTGAAGCCTCCTTTCTATTTCTGAGAACATGCTTAGAAAATAACCCACTGCGGCTCAGCAATTTGTTTAGAACTGTGCCCGGCTGCCCAGATAAAGGGGAAGGGATTCAGGTAGGACTGTCACAGCTGGGCTGGGCCAGACAGCAGCAAAGAGATTTAGAAAACTCCTTATTGCCATCCAGTGATTGCTCAGCTGAGATACGGCACCCCTAGGTTGGGGGGACTTTTCAGCATTTTTTCTTTACAGTAAATGAGTGTTTTATGATGTGTGATGTGCCCATGGTAGCCACATGATGAATGGGAAAGGTACTCCATAGCAACCATTTTGTCAGAGCACTTATCAAAGGCTCTCAGAATTCCAAAGTTTCCCACCAACCCCAAAGGGTTGCATATCTCTGCTATAACCCTTCTAGAGCTACAATACTTCAGTGAGCTCTGGAATTCTCTCTCCTAAAATCATAATATAAGTACCTATTCTGAAAATTATTAAACTCTCAGTCACATAAATGTTTCTAGCAAATTCACATCTATAATAAGAAAGGATGAGCCCAAAATTCTGTGCAATTTGCATCTCCTGGAAAATGCATATTCAGAATCCATGCAAATTAGCTTATCTACATGAAAAGGAATACCTATTAGATGGGGTCTCCAGTTTAAGCTCCATTCTCAGGAATGCTAAATAAAGAATCTACTTATCTCTTAGCAGGTTAGATATTTCTAAAGCAATAAACAGAAAAACTCAACCTTTTAAAGCTCTTTCAAAGTTTTAGAACAATAATTACACTGTGGAATAAGACCATTGGTCAATCTCTTGCTGTTAAACATCAACAGCAGGAATGAAGGTGAACGTGTCTCATGGAAGTGAATAAGGAGAGAAAGTTCAAAGTCTTAAGCAGAGAAAATCCTTATTCTAAGACACCTCTCTAGTGAACAAAACTTTAAAGTAAAATGGCCAGTGAACTACATATATTGCACAAGTAGACACACACTCTACAACCTCTGCAGGCTTCAGAAGGGAAATGCATCTCCAGAAAGCAAATTCAACAGATGTTATACTCCTCAGTGCCTAGTCATTCAACCTTAGGGGAAAAAAACATTCAAGCATGCAAAATGCCAGCAATCTTCAGCAGATGAAAAAGCAACCAAAGCCACATGCTGCATAGGAAAAGTGGAGGATTTCCTTTCCTTTGAGGAACAGGGAGGTGTTATAAACACAGAGTAGGGAAAGAGGATGTGGGGTGAGTGGCCCCTTAGGAGACCTGTTTGGGCTGTCTTACTAAAAAACAAAACAAAAAAAACCTGTTGAGTTCCTGCCTAGCCACTCTCTTCTAAGTGTATATATCCAGCTGTCCTTTTGCTAACTCTAAGGAATATCTTGGTCCAAGTAGGTGTTCTCAGTAAGCAACACAATAAGGAGCAACTATCTACTTTGGGCTCTGTTGGCCTTGTGCTTTTGGAAAACCTCTTGGAGATTTTCAAAGCCATATCAAATATTTTAAATTTCCAGCAGATAAAGCACTTCCATATAAATGAGAGCCATGAAAATCCTATATAAATCGTACATTGCTTTTTGACAGCCCATACGGTGTAGAGATGTTGAGCAGTTGCAGCACACAGTAGAGTGAGCAGCAATTACATATAATGATCAACACGTGACTTTTGCCCTTTGGGCTATAGAGAAGTGCTTTGCATATTTGAAATGCCAGTGTTGGAAACTGTCCTTCATACCCCCGCAAGGAAGACGTAGAGGTCTGAAGCATACCTGGATGGGAGACATTTGTGTATATCCTCTCCAACTGAAATCCTCAAATTCCAACGGACTGTAGCCAAAGCGAACTGGCCTGCCATCCACTGTGGTCCCTTCTTCCAGCTCATATTTCAGGTGGTGAAGGTCAGGGACATAATAGCCTTCTGCTGGTCTGCAGATAAAAATTAAGGAATACACTAACTAACATGGCTTCTTTCTGCATCATAAAGCAGGCAAATGCCGTACGTTTAGGATCAGTTCAACAGTTGACGTTTCCCCAAGAACTCCCCCAAATCTATTTGCATTCTTATCAAGAAAACCTATTTTGCCCAGAAGAATTAAATAAATACTATGGATTTTTGCATGTTTTGTTTGGGATGGCGATGGTTGTTTTTTTAACAAAGTGCGTCAAACTTGTAACAAGCAGTAAATTGGCAGAATCAGGGTTAAAGTAAGGAAGTAAGTGAATAATGAGCAGCACTTACATAATGTGAAGTTTTGCACAGAAAGATGCTTCCATATGGTGTGATCCTGAGGCATCTGTTTCAGTGGTGCAAAGGAAATCACTACAACCTATCTCTTTACCTACCATGTGACTATGGATATCGGGGTGGGGAAATGATGACAGATGTGTCATGACATCATCATACAAATGACATAACTTACATACTTGCATCAGACATGCAAGTATATAATCACATCCTTTGCACAACAAGACCATGATGCAAATCTCATTGTTCTGACATCATAATGATATATTACAGATGCCGCCATTGGTGACCATTCATTTACCTGGGAGTAAATCAAGGACAGTATATCAAGGATGCATTCAGCCAAGGAAGAAGCTTGCTACTCACTCTCTAAATAAGCTTGTTCTGAGCTCTCTTTCTAGTTACACTGGAATGTAACAGAAGAGGCCCCTCCTGAATCTACTGTTAGGTAGCTTCACAGGATAAACCCACAATCTCACACTGGGGAGTGGAAGGATACAGAAGTAAATTTCTTTAACAGTTCTCTGCAGAGTTTTCATAATTTTATGTCCCCCTTTATTCAGTTTTTCCCCTTGCCCAAACTTAAAAGCCATGTGTATTATCATGACAACAGCAACAAAAATGTAGTATTGAAGACCTTTTCATTCTGCCTCTTGTCATCAGGACTATTTCCCTAGTGGCTCATTCATACTCTCAATCCCACAAACAAACAACAGCAGACCTGATACTCAAGAGTTAAAAATTTAACATCCCAGTACACCCTATGATAGATCCATTGCAACTGCTTCTTACTCAGAGCATGTAGGTCCCTTGGTATTCTGCCTGCACTGACAAGCTCCCGTCTTCTCCTCACACAAAGGACCAACCGATCCACCGATGTCACAGCGGCATCCTGCAGGAAGACATACATGCTGATCTTCTATAACTGCCAATTGGTCCCAAGTAGCATACGTCAACATCTGGCACCAAAGGGAATGGCAGCAGGTTGGAAATCTATTTTTATTCCATTATATCAATTTTCATGTTGACTTCCAGCCTGGCTTGGAGTTGTTTCTATCATTTCCCAGTTCTTAACTATACTGGATACTATGCTTGTTATCACTCAGTGACTTATAAAGTTTTCCAGCTCTGCTTGTAAAATAGCCACTTGTACCATCCAAGGATAGAACCTCAGATATCTAATCAGCAGCAGCAAGCATGCTTTGCCCTCACAGCACTTGGACGCTTATGTTTGTACTATAAATGGAGGACAAGAAGTCACCCTGGCACTATATGCACAGCCAACTTCAGCAATTAGTTCTTCTGCGATGTATATCATGGGCTGTACACTCCATGCTCTTAATACAATGCTCTGTGGTTTGCTGAACTCTTTTTATTCCTTTAAGATTTAGAGGGAACTGTCTAGACAGGCATTCACACAGACTTTAATCTGCCCTTCTCAAAAACTGAGGAAAGCAAGCTCGAACTTTTATCCAGAGGAAACTGAGACTCTAATATTCTCACTTTTATATGATCACATACCCATCCCACAGGATCAAGGCTCAGGAAAGAGTAACAGGGACAACCAGAGAGTAGGAGCCAGACCTAGTTAGTTTGTAATTGCAAAGGCACACTGAACATATACCTTGGATATGATAGCACACTTCCAATACTTGAAATAATGTCACATCAGAAGAACAATACCTGTTTTCTATCATTCCAGAATGCAGGGCATGGAATAATGGATTCAAGTTACAGGAAGGAAATGTCAGCTGAATGGAAGAAAAAACTTCCTAAGGAGCAATTAGGTAGTGAAACCAATTACCCAGAGAAATGATGGACCCCTCTCTGCTGGATATATTCAGGTGGAAGCTAGACAGTAAACCAGTGTTCTGCTGTCTGGCTGGGGAATTCTGGGAGCTGAAGTCCACACACTTTAAAGTTGCCAAGGTTGCAACTGCAGTAAACTGTTGGGGATGCTTTAATTCAGATTCTGTATTGAGCAGTGAGTTTGATTAGATTAGATGGTCTAAATGCTCTCTGACAATTCTAGGATTTTATGATTCTCCTCAGTTCTGGCTGATGAAAGTACAGCTTATTGTCTTCTCCCAATTACTAATTTAACAACAGTTATAAAAGGTAGAAAATTATGTACCTTCACAGCCAAAGTAATTACCACTCTCCAGATTGAAGTATCCTTCTTTACAAGTAGAACACATCTGGCCACAAATGTTTGGCTTGCAGAAACAGTGTCCGTTGCCCTAAGAGACAGATTGATTGATTGACTGATTGACTGCATATGGACTACGGAAATCAGAAAGAAGCCACAAGTGACAAGTTACAACAACAGGTCTGTTTACCCTACAGAACCAGTTTCATTGCTGAAACTCTTCTAGCCCCACTGCTGACAGAATTGTCTGAAAAACATAGTCATATTTGTTAAACCTTTAAGAAACCAGCAAACTGAATGAAACCCATTTCAAGTGACTGGTTAATCAATTAATATTTATTACCAACTATGACCACGCCAGGCTTTATCATACAAGCAGTGTGTGTTTAAAGATGAAAGAATACAAAGCAAAATGAGCAAAGAAATCTATTCATATTATAGTACCAATATATTAAAAGTAAAGTTTTGTACCATACAGGTACATATTCAGGTACATATACAGGGAAGATGTTAAAGATCTATTTTTCCAGGGTGAAAGGAACTAGGACAAGAAATAATGGATAGAAATTGCAGGTACTTAGATTTCAATTAAATATAAAGGTAACTTCCTAACACCAAGATCTGTTCAACGGTGGACCTACTGAGGCTGCGAATTCTCCATCTCTGAAGGTTTTCAAGAGAATAGACACCCAGCTCTCATGGATGGTTTAACTGCTATTCTGGCACATTGCAGAGGATTAAACTAGATAATCTTTGTGATCCCTTCAAACTTCATAATTCTATGATTCTATGAAATTATCTCAGAAATGTTACTTGCTACCATTTGCTAATTTGCCTGACTAAAAAATGGGGACCAACATAAGCCACCCTGCAAACCATCAGAAAGACCTGACTTGGAGTAACTTATGGCAGCTTTCCCAACCTCCAGCTGTGTTGCACTACTACTCCCATAATTCCCCATTAGCAGACCAAAGGGAAGAATGGAAGTTGAAAGGACATCCAATTGAGGAAGGCTAGAGTAAGGCTTATCCTGAAACTTACTTGTTGGCATTCAGCAACACCTGCCATCGTTCCCATGGTATTGCATTGGCAGCCTGAAGGAAAACAGAAAAGGACAATTGGAGAGCCTGTTTATTGAAGAAGCCATAATGACATTTCCTACAACATACCGGTTAAGCCGTGACCCATAGTTTTCAAACTGCTGCAGCTTGGTTGATACAACAAGACTTGGCCATACAACACGGCTTAGTTGTTATGGTTGCTTGGCATCAATTTCTTGTACACTGCTCAGAGTCCCTGCTATAAGCTGGGCAACCAAATAAATTGCTTCAATAAATACATTAAATAAAAACACAAATTATAGCTTAGCCTGGTCCATGAACCCATTGTGAAGTCAATACTACGGTTTTCGCTGCTCTGCAACATCAGGTATTCTGTTCTGATGCGTTTGTCTGTACTGATAAAGTTCAAAATGCAAGCAGCTAGCTTGCTTGGACAACTTAAGGCCCCGTGCCTCTCCAACTAAAAGGAATAGCAAGAGGGCAGTCCCTGTCTTGGTATTTGAGAACTTGATAGAAGGTAGGACTTCATAATCCACAGATAACAACCCTTTTCTAAGTTATAACGATGATACTATATTTAGTTCCTTTCCACATTAAGCATTTCCAGAAAATAGTGGTTCTTTTTGCCTCTGACCCACATCAAACGTTTTCTCCTCTATCCCCAGTCCTCTCCAGTGTATTCACAGAGATCATCTCATCAGGAGGATCTAGAGCAAAAGGGGAAGGTTGGGGAAAGCTCAGGAACAAATAAACTATCAAAGGCTGGCCACCACTGAAGGAAACACGAGGAAAACTTGAGCACAGAGGAAGGACTTGGAGATTGATAAGAAACCACAAAGCAAAGCAGCAGATATTTCAATCTCAGATGTTTCTACACCAGTGCACAGAGTACAGGAAACAAATAGGAAGCATCTGAACTCAAAGGGCAAATATATCATGGGCATCAATGGTGAGATGACACATCTGACTGGAACTCAGCCTTGGGATGCTACAACCTTTTTAAAAGGAACAGACTCAACAGAAAGAGAGGGAGAGCTGCACTGTACATAAAGCAAACATATATGCCTATGCAGAAATTGGAGCAAGGAAATTCTATAAAGAGGGTTTGGGTAAGTAGAAAAGAAGAGTAAAACAAAGGTGATATCATTATGGGACTTCATGTGAGGCCAAATGGGCAGGCAAAACTTATGGATGAGCCCTTTTGGTCTCAGGTGGCCTGTCTTTCAAAGAGGCTCCCAAGAGTGACAATGGGAGATTTCAACCATCTTGATATCTTCTGGAAATCTAACTCTGCCAAGAGTCAGAGTTCTAACAAATTCCTGTTGCCTCTTGCTGATAAGTTCACTTGTCAGAAGGTGGAAGAAGGAACTAAGGGGTCTGCTATCCTGGACCTAATCCTTACCAACAAGGGACATTTCTTACTCATGCATCCAAACGGATTATCTGGTGTCAAATTCCAGTAGAGTGGTTTGCATTTATCACAAGCTTCACCTTCCACATATGCCCGACATTCACAGGAACCCTGGGGAACCAAAAGGTAAAGATGAATGAGACAGAGCTTTAGAGATTTGAAAGTATATACCAAAGAATCAAGCCAGAACAACAGTAATGTTGGATAGAAGCAAAGATACTGCCTTATACTACAATCTATCCTTGTAGGTTACGTGATATGAAATATGCACTCTAATGTGCAATGTACAAGGGTTGAATGAAAAGTAATGCCTGACAAGTTCTTCAGCATCTGTTCTCTCACTCCAGTCACTGGGAAGCTGTTGCAAGAAAAGGTTGTGTTTCTATTGTTTGTGAACCTGTAATGAATATTTGTCAGTAGGCTTTAAGCAACATGTCATGACTGAAATTTTGACTGCTGAAGGAGTCCCTCCAAGTGAAACCCATGGCCAAATGCAGGTTGTTGATGGTGAGTTTACTTTGCATTCAACCCTTATAGCATGTAATTGAATAAGAGATGAATAAACAAGAATCAAAACTCAGTTCAGCAGTCATGAGACGTACCATGGGCAGGGAATGGTCTTCATGTACAAGCCCTGCAGGGTTGCAAGATCCCACTGAAACAAACAAGCACAGATCAGAGAAGACATTAAGGAAAAAAAAATATTCATCACACACTGTTCCTAGGAAGATACATGAGCTACTAGTAGGGATTTGCCAGAGTAACTAATGGTTTACCTTAGCTGCCTAGAAGAAAAGTGGTTTCAGGGATCAAAAAATTAGTCCCTCCAAGTGAAGGGACATCAAACTAATGCATAAAGCAAAAACTTCACTATGTTGCTAAGATATTGAATAAAGAACTCAGCTACCAAACTGACAATTTTATGGGCTTTTTAATTTCAGCACTACAGACTATGAGTAAATCCATTTTAAAACAAGATTAGCAAAGCTGTCTGGTATAATAGGTATTGAAATAGGCCAATATTTAGATCCAAGATTCAACCCTGGTGATGCCAAATATATGGAGCGGTCTGAGTTACCTTCACAGTCTGGGAATCCATACGCCCCAGGAATGCAGGTGTCACAGCGCAGCCCACTTACTCCAGGACGGCAACTACACTGCCCTGTTTCTTGATCACAGGTGCCATAAAGAGAGCCTTCTATGGAACAGTGACAAGCTGGAAAAGATGCAGAAAGATCACTCGTGCAGCCTAGAGGTGATGCAAATGAATGATGTCAATAACATTTTATAAGCAATTGTAAAACCCATACAAAGCAGGGACAAACTTCAAAGATTGTGTTGATTTATTTTGACCATGTAAAAAACTAGCAATGTGTGCCTTTATATTGAAGTTGCTCTGATAAAATATATTCTCTCTTTCTCCCTCTCTTCATGTAGGTGTGCATGTAAAATTTTATGATTAGGTGACAGCCTACAAGGCGGAATCTTTTCCCCCCATTTTATTATATTTCATAGCAAGAATTCAAAAGGTTGGTGAACAATGAAATAATAAAAAAACTAATAAACAACAAAAAGCCCTAAGAATAAAGACGCCTGCCTCACGCAATACTAAGCAATTAAATATATCACTTATCTAGAAAGAGTCACTGGGAGTTGGGCAGCTTATAAATTGTAACTGTAGAGAAATCACTGGTTTACAGAAAATACCTTATAATACTGTATTATCATCAAATAGAGAAAAGATAATATAATACTATTCTGTTGTTGTAACAAGGATTACAAAGAAAAATCTGAAAAGCTATGGATATTTTAAATAACTGAATTGATAAGAATAGAAAAAATAGCGTGATACATAAATTGGTTCCTTGACAGAAGAAATCACAGGTGTAAAAATTAAATCATGATTCATTTTGTTGGATCGAGGCTGATAGAAAGGATGAGGACATCTGTCAAGTTTGGTTTTACTCAAGTTTCTCAGTTTTGTTATTGTAATTTTAAAAAAGGTATTTTTCTTAATGTATGCATGTTATATGCACTATATACGGACTTTTCCTTCCATTTCCTTTAATACAACACATTTTCTTCTGTAAGTTTCTCAAATATATATTCTACACATTTTACCTAATATACACATTTTATACAATTTTTACTAGTGAACAGCCCTGCAGCATTTAGAAAAATGTGGTGGCTTTCAACATAAAACAGACTCTAATTTGCCGGTAAGTTTATGGAAATGGAAATCAGAGAAGTTTGTGTTAACTTCTCTCCCACCACTAACGGACAGTAACAAACGTACGTCTGTCATGTTATCCATACACAGCTGTATCTAAGTAATTCTTTTTCATATCCAGACCTTTTTTTTAGGATCATAATAAATTAAAATGATCACAAACCCAGAAAGAGAAGAGTGAATCCATACAAGAAAGGGAAGGAAAGGAAAGAATACAGACAGAAGAATCCAACCCACTCCACCCTTTCAAAACCATGATTTGGAGAATCTGAAAAGAATGTCTGAATGCAGCCACCGAGAAGTATTAGAAACTGAAATATCCTGGTTCAAATCTCTGTTATGCCACTAAGTTGTCCCTGGGACCATTTCTCAGCCTAATCTACAATGTTGCTGTGAGGCATCTGTTTCAGGAGGTGGTGCTAGGGAACTGTTATTTTAACTTTCCAGGCAAAGGATATTTCTTTCCGACCCCATATTTTTTAATAATACTTCTCTGTAAGATTATAGAGACATGAGGCATGAGTTGGCATCAATAAGCAGGTGACTCTCAGTGCAGAGATATGGAAGATCATTGGGAAAGGACAAACTAGAGTAGCTGTATGCATCATGTGAACAAAGAACTGCTCAGCTCCCCTGGACAGGACCAACTGGTCTAAAATACCAATAGAAGAAAATATATATAGCTCAGGGTTGAACTGTAGAGTCCTTGGGGCTCTCTGAGCTTGGTTGTTTTCTTGCAGACGTAGAAACATTGGGTAATGAAATGTCTGCAAGAAAACAACCAAGCTCAGAGAACCCCAAGGACTCTACTGGTCTAAAATAAACCAGCCATCTGAGTTCTAAGCAGAGCTAAAGTAAAAATTAGTCAAAAGAAATGGCAGATAATATTCTCTCTTTGTAACTTTTCAACTGAATTGTAAACACTGATGGCTGAAAAAAGCACTTCTCGGGTCTCAACAGCATCATGCTAAGCTGGACCAGCAAGGGTGCGATGAATTTGAAGTAGCAAAGACTGCAATAAACTGTGGCTAGCTAAGAAAAGGAATGTCTTACAACTTCAGGAGTGATTTATGATCTTGAAAACTTTGGATGATTAATGCCTTCCTATCACATTGCTTGAGTCTATGATGTTATGTAATTGTCAGATGTTGATGAATAAAATAAAAACAAAAACTGCAAGCATCCTTGCAGGTTATACCAAGGGAATTTAATCTGAGTTTTAAGCTTCTTCAAAAGTAGGCTGCCATCAGCACTGGAATCTAATGCTCAGCCAGCTGTCCATGGTTCAGATTTTCCATATGAAAAAGAATTAGAAGTTATCATCTGGGTGACTCAGAGCTACTTCATCCTATAGCAATGTTTTTACAATGAGCAATAACATTTAAACAGGCACCACGAGTGATTACTGGCAGTTCAGATTTGTGTGCCCCATTAACTATGAGGAATACAGCTAATAACATGGGTAGAACTGAATCTTGTAGTCTCAATGACTGACTTCTACTTCTACATCCAGTGGACAGGGGTGGGGGCTGTAAAAAAAAAAAATCAAGATGGTGATAGCGATGGCCTGTTCAAGGTTCTGCCCCTTTTTTACATGCATTCCAACATACATTAAAAAGGGGGCAGGACTCCAGTTATGCAGTCACAGCTGCCATCCTTCTTTGACCCTCCCTCCTCTTGTGGATAACCCCTGTCCACCTCTGACTTCATTGTATAAACAAGGGACCAATTTGGACCACTATCAACCAACCTTGACAAATTTAGTTTGTAGATTTGAATTTGAGCAGGCTCATTAGCCACAGTTCAGAGACAAAGTTGTTATCTATGATTGAACCTGCTTACTTACTCTCTGCTTTCATTAACCATAGTGTTATTATACCCTGATTCAGCATCTTAATTTAATCCTAGCCTGTCCCAGACTAGCACCTGAGGTGTAAAATCAGAATGATATTACAATAAAGTCATAAATATTTAAACCTCTCCATTCCTGCTAAATCATGTTGGTGAATGAGTGGAACCGGTATCCAAAGACACAGTTTGAGAAAGCTCAGAGAATGGTACATCTGGATGTATTCTAGCTGTTTCACAGCTCTTTAAAAGGAAAACATGGTACTTAAGATAGACCTCTCATTAACAATAGTACAACCAACCAAGATTCCAATACCTATTTACTTTTATGAAATCAACGGCTACATTTCCCACATCACCAGGCTTCTGTAAAGACTGTTCCAAATAAATACTTGTGATTCTGTAGCTACAAGCTAGGTTTGTGTTTTTTACAACCCCAGTATATACTCTGTCTTAAATTATGAGCCCTCTTCTCCTCCCGAACATTCAAGGATGTAGCAGACTTGCAGTTCAGACAGTCTAATGAAAAGTAAAAATATGGGATCAGGATGAATACAGCCTACTGAAAATTCAGTGTAGCAATGCAGAAACTTGCAATATGGAACAAGATACATCTTCTACATCCAAAAGCAGGCTGAATCCGACAGATGACTCACCTGTACAAGAAGGAAACCCATAAAAGCCTGGGGCACACTGGTTGCATGTTTGGCCAACATAATTTGAACGGCAGTTGCATTGACCAATGGGATTGCAAGTACTGTCTACTGAGCCCCGAAGGTCACAAGAACAAGCTGCAAGAGGAAGGCACATAAAGACATTCTGGGAAGAATTAAATAATAACAGTAGAAAAGTGCCATTTTATGGCCTTAGAGTAAACCATGCATTGTAACAGAACTGTGAGTCCATAGTTCTAACTGAACTATGGACTCACAGGGTGGCTTTAGACCAGTCACTCTCTCTCAGCCCATCCCACTTCACAAAGGGGTTGTGATGGGGATAAAATTGGGAAGACTCCCTATAAGCAGGAGCTGGGATATAAATACCACAAACAAATTAATTAATTGCCCAATTAATAGCTGAACATTTCCTCCCAAGGAAGCTGTTCTTCCTGCTGGAGCCAGCAGATTCCTACGTCCATGTTTAAAAATGCTGGTAACTTCTAGTCCCCATGTCACTAATACCTGACCTTGAGATGATAAGGCCACTGAGGACATCAGGTTCAACCCACTGTGCAAGAAAACAGGGGATGGAGAGAAGAGTGACAACGCTGAACCAGATGCAAAGTATTATTAAGGAAGACGGTAACTAGAAGGGAAATGGATCCAAGAAATATCTGAAATTCTAATAGATCTAGGACACCCAATTCCAACATTTTCTCAACCTCTGATCGGCTACCAGAATTTGCTAGGAATGATGATTTATTTTCATAGTGCAATGGCCAAAAAGACAAGGAAGCATCTATGAATGAACTAGAGTGCAAGGATAAATCTGAAGTATAAAATGTCAACGGCCAGGACCCTGCATGGTAAAACAGTGGTATGATAGCCTTAGATTTAGATTTGCAAAGATTCTTCCACAAGCATTTGTATTTTGTATCAGTTAATCGATCTTTCCTATGAATCCTTTCTCATACTGATATACCTTGGCAGTGAGGGTAGGAGTGATATCCAAAACTGCACTGGTCACAATGAAGTCCATCATATTCAGGCCTACAGTAGCATTTCCCAGAAGCGTCACAGCCTTCGGGCAAGGTCCCAACAGCACTGCAGCCACAAACTTTAACAGAAAAAAGATCTTAGGTTTCAAACTTCATGATCTTAATGAGAAAATTAAGCCAGGAGCCCAGAAATGGTCAATACTACTCTGAAGGCTCATCAAGTTAAATACTTGGGATTCTTGTCGACAAAGGATCAACAAGGCGAGTGAAATATGGTTTTCCATCCATCACCACATACTCAAAAATCTATACTATATAAAAATAAAAATCCAAACTGGGCAGCAAAGAAGTGAAAAGTCACCTCTCAAATAAAAAATAAAATTTCTCTTGAGTCAACCTTGATTCCTAGAGACAACTCCATGCATTTTTCTTAGCAACAATACAGAAGTGGTTGGCCATTGTTTTCTTCCAGGGTTATTGATATAGACAATGGAAATATATAGTTAGTTGGCATGACATAATTATCTCAAATACTAAATTCTTATCAGTTGGGCTTACTGAGTGATATTGGTTATGATCAAAGCTATGATCTTGGAACTGCTAATAAGGATTAATGAAGAGGAAACAGGAGTCCAATGAGGAAGAATGGATACTCATGAAAATACCAACTCTGCATTGCTAAAAGTCTAGTCTGGATGGAAGGATGGATAGATTTATTCATTAAGATACCACCAAATCAATAAAAACTCATGCCAGTTTACAGCGATTCAATAAAACATACAACCAATTAAAACATCTACAGTAAGCATGATTAAATTCAAATTTGTAAACAATATGGAATAATAATAGAAGTATAAATAACACAATCAAAATATGAGACAAAAATGGGGCATAGCAGTTAAACTGAAATGAAAAAATGGCAACAATTAACTAATCACCAAACACTCTACAAAAAGGTTCCATCTTAAGAATGTTAAGAAGGATGGTGCAAGTCTTAATTCCAAGGGGGGCTATTCCATAAACCCAAAGCAGGGACTGAGGCACAGCACCTCCTGGCCTCTATTTGACTTCATTGTCTATTCCTGTACATGTCCAAGTCTCTCTCTGGAGAGATCTTGACACTTGAAATAGCCACAAAAATGCTTGGTGTAATATGTATGTGCCAACCACCCAGCAACTACTCTTCCATATTTGACAACTCACGTTGACAGAGTGGGTAGTTGAAATAGCCAGGAGCACATTGATTGCATAAATAGCCTTCAAACCCAGTTCGACACAGGCACTGTCCAGTCTCGTTGTCGCACGTGCCTTCATAGAATCCAGGGCCTGAGCACTGGCAAGCTGTGGGAAGGGAGGTTCAACATTTAGGACCATAATTACAGACACCAAGAGCCTCCACACAGTCCCAGCAATATCAGTGAGTTAAGGCAGTCAATATTTTATAGAGTTTCCACCACGAGGCAAGAAATCAAAATTTCTCTTCTCTCCCACTGCAAGTAGATATGAATAGATAAACACATGATAAAACAAAATATAACCTGAAGAAAGGAAACTGTCTAAAAATTAAATGCTACAGTAGTGCTTTTAGTTTCTCTCAACGCCTAGAACTCTCTCCTGTCACATCTGGATCCTACCACCTCTCTCTCTTCCTTCAACCATACTTCAAAAACTAGTTTTCCCAGGGAAATTTCTCCTAAGCTTTACATCACTGCTCAGGGTAGGTTTACTCACGTTGGCAACTTGGTCCATAGTAGCCAGATACACACTGATCACATTGTGTCCCTTGAAAGTTAGGTTTGCACAAACACAATCCAGTTTGAGCATCTTTCCTGCAGGTGTTCCCTCTTGTTCCAGCAACATTGCAGTCACAGTCTGAAAAATAGGGACAGGGGTTGAACCATCAGGCAGAGTAGATATGAAGCCCAGAAGAATCCTGATCTCTAGAGAAATCCTGCTAGAAATATCAGAAAGAGATAATCGCACTACTAAGTAGCATGAGAATTTCAAAAAGGGAAAATAAAACCAAAAACTTACTTATTATCTGCCCAGCTGGGAGGACTTGCTCTCCAGTAGCATTGTAAGATGAAATAGACATGGCTAGATGAAGCGGATGACAACACAAACATTAATTCTATGTCACAAGAAAGTCACTAGTTAAACACTAGACCAAAACAAATTCTCCATAAATAGTCCCTTCTGGATTCCAAAATATCATCTGCACTTCAAATTCCATCATTTCCTTCCAATTCCATGAAACGGCTTAGCCCCAAACTGACCCTTCTGAACATTTCGCAAATAGGAGCCAACTTCGTTATTAATCAGAAAGATTCCAATACCTCAAGAGTGGTAGGCACTCAAGAGTTATGGAACCAGCGCTTAGTTCCAATACTAATACATACAGTAGCAATGTGGGAAGTCCACGTAATTGTCTGCACAAGCATCACAGTGTTCCCCCGAGTAGTTTGGCTTGCAGTAGCAGCGGCCAGTGAAGTCCTCACAAGTGCCATCGGTAAAGTCTGAGTCACAGTTGCAGCCTGGAAGAAGAGATGATGGAATGCTCTATTGATCGCCTTGTGGTTTAATTTAATTTAATTCAATTAATTTAATTTACGCACTGGGGCTCATATGCTGCTGCAATCAGAAAAAAATTGGAGCAACTCACTTCTCCATTACAATAAGGTGGTTAAAACCAACCAATCACAGGAACAAAATAACAAATGACAAAAAGCTGTAATACAGAGTTACAATAATCAATGCCATCCTAGAAATGAGATATTTGGTTTACTTGATGCATTAAATCATTCTCACCCTTCAACTTGAAACTGGAAGTAAACCTGTCACTGGTAGTTCCATTTTTCTCATTATATCTGAAGTGAGTTTCACTGTATCACACTTCCTCAAAGTTTTACAATTCATTTCTACTCCCTCAGTGGTCAAATATTCAACCACACCAGAATCTGATAGAGAAGTTAGATCCACACACAGTACAAGTGAAATCACTGCCTGTTTTCCCCATAGCAAGAACCTTGAGGAAAGCTGACACATATCATGGCCCTGTCTGGATTTCAGTATTGTTCATCAACCTCAGTGTTTTGCAATCTCCAAAATGTATGACAGATTCTTTTCAATACATCTTTAGGAAAAGCAGTCATCAACAGCACCAGGCATTATGTGCAGAAAAATCCATTCATGTAAAATACAATCCAAAAGCTGCAGGAAAGATTTAGTGAGGCATCTCAGCACATTTAAGAGACAATAAGTACAGGTGGTCCTTGCTTAATGACCACTCATTCAGTGACCATTCAAACTTGCAACAGTGCTGAATGAGTGGTACTTACATCTGGTCCTCGAAGTTCCAGCTGTCACAGCCCCTCTGCAGTCACATGATCGCGATCCAGGTGCTTGGCAACCGGCCCTGATTTCTAACTGTTGCAGCATCCCGCAGTCATGTGATTGCGATTTGTGACCTTCCCTAACAGCTTCCCACAAGCAAAGTCAATGGGGAAACTGGCAGGAAGTTGTGATCACATGAGGTCCTTGCTTAATGACCCACACGGTCCTTGCTTAACAATGGTAACCAGGAACTGCAGAACTGCCGTTGCTAAGCGGCGCAGTCATGTGATGTCAGATCTTACATCCCTTGGCAATGGAAATTCTAGTCCCAATTACCGTCGTTAAGTGAGGACTACCCATAGTCTATTTTTCTGTTTAAGGGCTATTCCTCATATCTCATGATGATGTCTCATAAGGTTTCCACCCCTTGGGATGTTTCGGAGGGATGTTCCATGTGTACAGAACACAGAGAAAATACTCACGGTAGCAAATATAAGGTGAATCTATGGAATGATCTGGGGATTTATAATATCCTGGGCTGCACCTCTCACAGTTAACGCCTGTTGTATGATGCTGCAAAATAATTCATCCGTTAGCTGCCATTAATTTGAGACATTATGAGTCAGACAGATACATAGTTTTAAAGGGAAAAAGAACTTTGCTAAGGCCATAAAAACAAAATTATATAGAGTAAGTCCTAATTAAATTAGCAAGGCCTGTCTCTGAGTATAAAGGCACGAACTTTGCTCTAAAACCGGAACAGTTTTAATTATGCTAGACAAGCATGTTTTTGTTTTTAAAAAACAGTGGATTCTTATTTTTCTAAAAAAATTCCCTTCATAGTTAATATTAACTATAGAACAAAATCCACAAGTCATCTCAGTTCAGGGGAGGGTTGTTTTTTTTTTAATATTATTGCTTTGGCTTGCGTGAATTATTAACAGTAATTAGTGGGAATGTGTCTTATACAGAAATAAAAATACCTGTGACATTCTCAATACCTAAGAAAAGCCACAATAATTGTTTTGTTTCAAATCTGTGTACATACAATCAAAAACTTAATGGACATACGAAGAGTCTTTGAGATACAGGGAGTCCTCAGTTTAAGAATGAGTTCCGTTCCCTGTCCTTAAGTCAAATTTGTATGTAAGCCGGAACAGTATTATTGTATAATATTGTATAAGTAGTATTGTGTAATGAACTCAAACCATTGTATTTTTAACTCGAATCACTGTGTATTTAACCCAAATTTTGCTACAATAGGCTCCATTCTTAACTATGGGTCATCCTTAAACCAGGCGTCCTTAACCCAGGGACTACCTGTATGTACATACGTTATAAATTATAATGATGGTGTGATCCTAGACATGTTTACTGAGGAGTAAACTTGCCTGAATTCACAGGAGCATACCACCATGTTAATATGTGTATACTGTGGCAGAGGGATCTGTGACTCGATGAACTACAAAAGCTCGAATTGCCAGCTAATTCCTTCCAAATGTCTAAATCTTTTTTTTTTTTCATTTTTGCTTTTGTGACATTCTGAATAGACACCCACAAAGTTTTCTGGAACTATCAATATTTTAAGGTAAATAGTACAATAAATGTTAATATTTATTCACTGGCAATGTTGCTGAAATTACAGTCAGGGCATCCTAAGGAGAGATCAAAAAAACCAAGATGGTGGCTTTAACTGTGTAACTGAAGCCCCACCTTCTTTTTATTTAACAGGGGTGGGGCTTAATTCTGCAGTCATAGCTGCCATCTTGACTTTTCTGAACACTTGCTACACATAATTACTTGCATTTAGTGAGAATTTGCTTACTTCAGTCACTCATTGAGATGGGCAGTCCTATACACTGAATTAATAAATAAAATGAATAAATACTTACAGCATTAATGTGCACAGTAGCTCTTGATTTTTGATATATATTAAGATTTGAATTATATATCAGGAGTGTTGAGGATCTGCCTCAGTGTAAAAACCTGAATTACTTGATTTTCAGGTATCAATTTTATGATGGTCTCCTATGACCTGGATCCCTCCTGTATATTTCTATTCTATTTCCATCATTATACATCAATGGCCATGCCAATGGGACTGATGGTCAAAATTAAACTCAAGAACAGAAGCCTGTCCTCAAATATAACTTGATGGTATTTATTAATTTATTAAATTTATGACACCCATCTCCCCCAGAGGGTGACTGGGTGGCTCACAATTAAAATCCAAAACAATAAAAAATATAAATATCCATATTAAAATTAGCAAAGACAATTCAATATACAAAGATTTCCTAAGACCCTCAAGTTCTTTAGCACCAGTATTAGAGGATTTAAGTATACAAAGGACAATCAAAAAGACAAACATGCTTTTGGGGTTGTGTTATTTCAACCAAGTCTCACCTGACAGTCAATGCAGACACCACCTCCTTCAAAACGGTCATTACGGTTCTTGCTGGCCTTCAGACGGTCAACCTCTGGGTCATAATAACAATCGTAGGCATGGCCATTGCAATTACAGGCTGAAATAACAGAAAAGACAATCAAAAGCTGATACAACTTCTGCTTAACACAGTGCCCTGTTTGCAATCGCAGAAATAATTGTTGAATTGTCGATATGACAATAGCTGTTGCATCCCCTGGAAAAATGTGGTTGGTTGGGTAACTTTAAATTTAAGATGATATTTGCTTATTATAAAAGGCTGGTTAATCACTCATGTTTTCTAGTAATAATACTACACAAAAAAGACTGAAGGCTTGGAATATTAAAACAGTGCTTTCTTCATCAACTTACTGAATCCAGAAACTCATAAATTGTTGCAGAATGCAGGGAAATCGATGAACAAACCACAAATCGTTTAAAACACTATTTCGTTATAACTATCCATAATCCATTCATGTTATTTTGTCAATTTCACTAAGCAGAGTATTCTCTATTATCATGCATAATTTTATAAATCTCTAGCCTTTCTCATTTTATATAAGCTAAGCCACCAATGTTTAAAGTTTCTAAGCCTCCAATCTTTAAAGTTTCCAATCCCATGATCTCTGATGGTTACCCTTTTCTGTATTTTTTCATATCAGTTCTTTGCCTAATAACCTTTCATATGGAATTGGTCTTCTTCAACTGAGCTCTTAATGCTATCAATTCAAGGCACTGTGCAAATACTCCATCGTTCTGTTACAAGATAATAATGAAGTAATGTGACAGTGTGGCTTATAAACTTATGTTGGATCCTCTGTAAAATTCAACATTTAAGGTAGAATTATTGCACAATAAAAATCCTGCTTAGAAATATGCAAGTTTGAGGTTGACTGAAGCATCTAGCCACAAACACCATCGATCCAAGCCCTATTGTCCAATATATATTATCCAATCTATAAAGTTGGAATCTTTTTGTTTCAATATGTATAGCCTCCTATGTATGGTGCCCAGCATTTGCTATTTAGTCCTTCATCCATATAGTTGTGATCCTTGCATCTCTACAGCCATCCTGAACAATTTAATAGCATCAGCAAGCATCATTCATACCTGGATTAAAGTAAACGTAAAGTTTCCTTTGAATCAAGCCCCATACCTAGTGACTCCAAGTCCTTTTCTTGGCAACAACACCAGGTTGCCAACATTTTTCCATTGTTTTGCTCCTGGTTGCTCTGTCAACTTCCATTCTAAGCTGTAACCTTGTGATTGCCTGGGGGTTTCCCATCCAAGAACTACGAGGTGTGACCCTGCTTAGCTTTCTGAATCCAGTCAAGGTCTAATTTCTCTACGTCAAGCATCCTTGAGGAATGCCAGGAACTTCAACAGATGTGAAACAGCAGGGATCCTGTGAAGTGTTGTGCGACACTAGGGCCAAGACTCAGTACTGTTGCCAATTTGGGAGGGAAAAGGATTGATTTGAACATTCAAAGGCCTAAATGTCTTAAAGTTGACTCTTTGAGAACCAGTTCTCTAATTTTCACCCTGGCCAGGCTCTAAGATTTTAAAAAGGCTTTCAGATGCTCACTGGGTGGCGTGCAAAGGATTTCTCCTGAGTCAATCCCAAATAAAACAGATTCCCTCAGGAACTGTATTGATTGATACCCCCAGCCATTAAAAACAAGGAGCCAAAATCTATTCTCCACCAGCCCTTTTGAATTATTTTCAGGACAATGTTAAAAGTTCTATTTTTGGTTCTGTTTTTATTTTAATCTTATGTTGCAGTACTACTAAGTTTATTTATTTGTTAGATTAGCATCCTCCCTTCCATTCAGAAGTTCCCTCTTCCTGTTTCTTCCCACAATGGGGGGGGGGGTAGGCTGGGCTGAGGGAGAAAGTCTAAGACTGGCTTCCATGTGCAAGGATGGACTAGAACTAGGTCTCCCCATTGTGGTCCAGCACCTTAGCCATTAGACTGCCTTGGCTTTCCCTGGCTAGCCTGATCTGTGGATAACCCATGACGATATGCTGGGTCTCCCTGCTCCTACTCCAGCTCTTTTAACCACTGTACAATGTTGGGCTCCCCAAAAATCCTGTTTGGGCAGAAAGGTGAGCTATACAAGTAGTCCTCACTTAGCAACCACAATTGGGACCAGCAACTCTGTCGCTAAGCGACATGGTTGCTAAGCGAAACATCATGTGACTACAATGGGCTTACGACCTCACTTCCACTGTGGTTGTTAAGTAAATCACCCGTGGCTGTTACGTGAGACATCACGTCACTGTGACTTGTGATTTTATTGCCAGCTTCTCCATTGACTCTGCTTGTTGGAAGGCAGTTGTGAACCATGAGAATGGTGATCATGTGACTGTGGGACTCTGCAACTGTCGTAAACACAAGGACTGGTTGCAACATTACTTTTTCAGTGCTGTAGTAACTTTGAATGGCCACTAAACGAGGTGGTTGGTAAGTGAGGTCTACCTGTAAATCAAACAATAGTTGACATACACTGCTCGCTCCTGACCTTGTGTAACTATGAAAAAGGAGACACAACTAGGCTCAGCACAGCTTCTCTGCAAAGTGTACCCCAAGACCCCTTCATCTTAGCTCTTCTACAGCTCCATAGCCCCCCCCTTTCTTCTTAGCCAAGACCTCAGTCTGATGCAGAACAAATCCAAGCATTTGCTGGGCAAGCTGGATACTCATCCGGCTGGGAAAGAAGAGATTAAAATGTAAATGGATGTCTCCAACTTTGGCTTACAAAGCCACGCAAACACGAAAATGTCCCAATGGCACCCTCTTTTAACCCTTTGTGTGATCAGCAGAGGCCATTCAGAACATCAAGTGCCTTCACTTCTGGTTTTGCAATGACTTGTGTCATGAACCTTAAAAAACGGGGGGGCACAGAAGTACAAGGACGGGTAGAGGGTGTCATATCAGTCACATTCTGGTCATTATAAAACTTACGTTCACATTCGTTGGCACTGTCAGTAGTGGCTGGTTTCCAAGGCAACTGGTTGAAGCCTGGGCAACAGTGATCACATGACCCACCACAGGTGTTGTGTTGACAGTCACACTGTAACCTGCAAATAAAAGAGCAGTGAATCAGATGCAGAAATCTGTATGGATATATCTTACCAATCACTTTTATATGCCCCTAATTTTGGAGTACCAGGTGGCCTATGGTCTTCACTATTAACACTGCCTCTCCGTGGTTGGAAAATACAGACCAGACAGTGGTAAAAGGTCTCATATGCCTGGCTTTTCAAGAGCATTTTGTGTATTTTATGAACATGGAAAATGGTGGGCAGGCTTTTGTGCAAGCAGAAAGCACTTTCTTGTACATGTGGCCTTGTTGTCCAGCTGATTGGCCAGGAAGGAACCTTCTCAAATAACAAAGATCCCCTGTACTCATTATTGTTATGGAACATTTCTGAATAGTGTTACTATGATCGCATTTCAAAGAATCCTGCATCCTATATTTTTGACTGTTACTGCAGAAGAGAATGTCTACTTTGAAAAAAAAAAAAAAATGTGCTTCAGGAAGTACGGAGAAGTTTGAAGACATACCTCCACTACTAGCCATGGAGAGAAGCATTGCCCAATTTACATCAGGAAGTATAACATCCTGTCTAACAACTGTACGAAAAACGTGTCAATGAAAAATAAAATGGGCACACAGTTTGGCTAGCATGATTCAAGAGCTTCTTCAGTCCTTTTCTATTATCCTTTTCCAATTCACTTCATCTAACAACCACTGAGTGATGGTATAGATGCTGGGATCTATAGAAAGATATCTCAAGGTTGTGGAAACTTGCTTTTGACTATTATTCTTATACAACTACAGGCAGTCCTCAACTAATGACCACAATTGGGACTGGAACTTCCATCACTAAGCAATGCAGTCATTAAGTGGTCATTAAGCAAATCACATGGCTGTTAAGCGAATCCACCTTCCCCCATTGACTTTGCTTGTCAGAAGCTCCCTGGGAGGGACACTGCAACCATCATAAATGCTGGCTGCCAAGCACCCGAATTTTGATTATGTGACTGCAGGGATGCAGCAAGGACCCATTGTAAGTCACTTTTTTCAGCACCATGGTAACTTCAAACGGTTGTTAAACGAATGGTCATAAGTCAAGGACTACTGTAATGACTTTTGGGACAAGGTTTAGGAAACCCAATTCTTTTCAGTGGCCCTTGTCAAAGATTTACACTTCCTTGCCTTTAAAAAGAAACTCTTCCATCCTTACGTTTTAATTTTACAACTGAGATTTTTGCGTTCTGTAAAATATATCAAGCACAACCCATCAAGGATTTGGCCTGTGTAAGTCCCAGTGGAACAAGGGAAAGCTACTAGAAAATGCAACATTGCCCAAACTCATTTCACTTCAGCAGGGAGATCTTATGCAAAAATTCAATTTATATGCCCTTCCCCTTTGGATTTCATCAGCTGAGATTTGCAGTGATTAAGAAAAAAAAAGCAATTCTGAAAGTTCCTGGCAAGATTTAAAATTTTGTCCTGTCTGCTGGTTTATCAAGAGGTGACCTCATGCTACAAAATTCCATTCCCCAGTACCCACCCAAGGAAAATACTATCTGTCAGCTGCACGGTTAATAAAGTCCTGTTCCAGCTTTTATCTGTACAATTACTCATTTCCCCCTTCCAGGCCTGCCTCTCCCTCACATGGCACACACACACTGTTCACTTGTTCATAACCCAGGGCTTAAAAATAGACACATTTTCTATTAAAAAAAAACAGACACCGATGTGCCAACTACTGCAGAAATTTCTAGGGAGCATCTGCTTCTGCATGTAGCCAGTAGACAAACTTAGGGAAAGATTCTGCTCTAGCATTTAACATGATTTCTGTGCCATCTTTTCTAGCAGAGGAGTTTCATTTGTGAAGCCAGCTATTATGGCTTATTGCTGAGTATAATTATAGGTTCAAACAATTGGGCTTAGCATGATACAGGAGCCTAGCCAATATGTAGAAGAAATAAAGCTATATCCTTCTGCAGTCACCAGAACATGGACTGTTGTGTCTGGGTGTGTGCAAAAAGTTGTCTGAAACTATCATTGTAATCTGCAAATATACCCCTTTGCCACGAAATTTACAGAAATGTAAATACACACTCAGGCATCCCTAAAATCTTACACTATATCTTTGTAATAGTTGTGCCTTATACTTTTAATACTTGTGCTTATACAAAATAAACTAAAATGATGTCTCTGATGCATATAACATCGAAGGTGATGCAATCAATGGATAAATATAAAGGTTGGAATCACACCAATGGTCATGTTTCATGTTTTGAAATCGGTTAGAATGTATTTATCTAGGTTAAGTCTTTCTGTACTATTCAGTAAACATTCCCAGGGAGTTTTACATAAACAGTCCCAGTGCTCTTCTCTTAGATGCAATCGACTAAGATGAAATCATTTGGGTGAGGGTAAAACGTAGACATCACAGATGAGCCCATCTATGGCAAGTGATTCAGAAATTTCACCCATGCTCTGCTCTGACCTTCTTGTATCATACAATGTGGGCTGGCCCTTTGTACTGATGATGAATAAAACTACATGAATGGATGAAAGAGAAGAAATGGCAATCAATGCATGAGAGGAAATAAAAGGCCATGAAGGTCATCAAGCTACCTATGGGCTCATGGATATTTTTCTGCAAATGCTAGGACCTTTTATCTGATTGCTGCAATTGATGGGTATGTCACAAATGTCTTGCTAATGTCTTCCCCAGATGAATATCTGGAGTTTAACTCAGGAAAGGAGGAAGATCTTTTCAAAGAAGTATCACTGAGTTTTCTGCATCCTCCTCTTTGGTCCACATTCAGAAAGAAGGTGATCTTGACAGCATTACAAAATCTGCTAAAATGTCACCAGCTCATATATCATGAGAAGGATCTGTAGGAACAGGTCGTCTCTAGGAACCCATGGAGAAAAGCAGATTGTTGAAGAGGGCAGACCCCGTGGAACTGAAGCCACCAGTGCCACTTCAGAGTCTAACAATGGATATAACATGATCCCAGATATCTTGACAAAAATGAATGATGAGCCTTAAAGGCAAAGGAAACGGACACAAGAAAAATGCATTTCCTTCCAAGAAAATGTATAACATGAACTGCCTTGTTGGATTAGGCCAAAGTACAACATTCTTTCCCACAAAATGCAAACCAAATGCTTCTGAATCACTTAGAGAGGATGCAGAAGTCATGTGGACAACCGTCCATCGTAACAGGACGTGATAAAAAGCACTGAAATCTTCCAGAAACAGAGAGAGGACTGAAGAGTGGAAGGGACGCGCACAGCTTTCAAATTCAGCTTTGAATGCCTAGCTCTCAAGATTAGGAATGCCTTTTTCACGAACAACTTCACATAACACAGATTCATTCGCTGTTTGGTCACAAGCTGTAGAATAACATCAAAACCTACTCATGGGAAAGGTGCAACATCAAAACACAACTTCAACTGAAAAAAAGCAAATGACGCTTTAATGGCTTGAAACCACGGATAAATGTAGGGTTGTCTCGTGCGCTTATTAATATCCTTTATAACACAGGATAAAAAAATGCTCATTAGCAAACTATAGAATGGCATATATGTGGCACTGCCATGCAAAGTATGGTCGTTGCCACAGAATTAAGCTTCTGGGTGCTTTGCTGCTATCTTTAGAGTTTTTATTTAAAATGTATTATTTTTGCAGTCGTTATATTTGCAGATGAAGGTTTGAAAGCATGGTGAAAATTGTTAAGGCTGAAAAGATATGATTGATGTTTCCTTATGGCAGGGTTCTTCAACCTTATCAACTTTAAGATGTGTGGAGTTCAACTCCCAGAATTCCCCATGCTGGCTGGGGAATGAACTCCACACATCTTAAAGTTGATAAAGTTGAAAAACCCTGCCATATGGTGATGGGAAGAAACTTCCACGGTTTACACAATTCGATGGCTTTTCTCATCTGTTATCCTTTCACTTGGAATGAACAGATAAGGCTTATGATACCCCTATAATTCAAGGTAGAAAGGACTGAATTTCAGAGATGTGTGATTTAGCAATTTTGGGGGAAATTATGTATTCTGTTAATCAGAAAATGTCTCATCTCTCCCTCTGGAAAACATTCTTGGACAGGCTTGGTGAACTTAGAAAGGTCAGTTTTCCTTTTTTAAAGCCTTATAAAATCAGATGAACTTGGGATATAGTTATAATTATAGATTCTTTGCTTCTTTCTGTAAATTTCTTGTGTAATTCCCCCCCCTTTTTTTCTTTGGTGATTGTTCCTTTGTATTTTAAATATGTTTGCTTGAAAATGGATTAATAAAAACAATTTTTTTTTTTTTTTAAAAAGGCTCATGATATCCCAGCTGCAATCACTCCAATTAAAAATGTCAAGTTGTATCAGAAGATGTCAAACATCTCTCCCAGCATCAGAGCAATCGGAACAGAGTACCATATATACTCGTGGATATGCTGAGAATTTTAGGCTCCAAAATATACCCCCAAAATTGGGTTTAGCTTATCCATGGATGCGTTTATCTGTGAGTATATATGGTAATACTTTTTAAGATACTTGTACATACTCAAAGATAAGCCCATCTGAGGATAAGGCAACCCTCAAATTTTTAACCTAATTACCATGAAAAATGCCCCACCCACAGATAAGCCAATTGTGAAAATTAAAACATACGAAAATTTTGGGGGTTAGCTTATCCACAGATGATGCATTTTCCATGGTATTTTGGTTAAAAATTGGAGGGTCTGCTTATCCACAAATCTGTGAATATATACAGTATGTTCTATTAAGTCACTTATACTCTATTTGACAGGTTAAGCCCCTTGAGCCCCATAATATTTGACTTGAATGGACAAATATTCTGATAAATGGCAGCTGCCAATGTCATCATAATCAATCCCCAAACCTTCTTCCGTTTAAGTCCAAAACTAAATCCCTTTGCACTGAGCTCTGCCTAGAAACTAAGGAACAAATGTTCCATATGTTTCATTGGCAGAGGCAGCCAAGACTTCCAGCATGTCTGTGCTTCCCCATCATTGCACGATACTGCATAT